TGGACCCATTTCTGCTGGTGACAGAAACAAGCTTTTAACCTTCATTCATAGATCAGGTTTTCTAAAACCTTTTAATATCCTTCTTGCTCTCCTCTGGACTCTCGCCACATTGTCCCCATACTCCCAGAACTGGACACAGCATACCAACTGAAACCTCATCAGTACCAAGTACCAAGGGACAATTACCTCTCATGTCTTCTACAAGACACATTTATTAATTCATACCAGAACAATATTAGCCTTTCTGACAAATGCAAAACATTGTTGATTCATGTTCAATTTGTGATCTACTGAAAACCTTTCTAGAAATTCTACATCTAGCCAGTTATTCCCCATTTTGTAGGTGGGCATGTATTTTTCCTTCAGAAGTAAAGTACTTTGTACTTGTCTTTATTAAATTTCAACTTATTGATTTCAGATCGATTCTCCAATTTGTCAACGTTGTTTTGAATTATAATCATGCCCCCTAAGTGCCGACAACCTCTCCCATGTTGTTGTAATGTGCACATGTTAAAAGTTTCACCCGATTGTCCAAGTCATGAATGAAAATATTGAATAGTACTGGACCCAGGACTGACTCCTATCTGCCCCACTTGATAAGTCCTCCCAGTGTTACAGTAAACCATTGATAAATACACTTTCAGTACAGCCTTTCAATCATTTCTGCACCTATATTACAGTAACTTCATCTAGATTATATTTCCCTAGATTACTTATGAGAATTTCATGTGGAACTGTAACAAAAGCTTTATTAAAAATCAAGATATGCCATGTCTCCTGCTTTGCCGTGGCCAAATACTGTCAAAGAAGAAAATTAGCTGGCATGATCTGCTTTTGACAAGTCAATGCTGGCTATGTCTTACAACCCTATTATCCGCTAGATCAGGCCCGGGTAAAATACAGCCCGTGGGCCGAATCCGGCCCTCCAACCCACTGGATCCAACCCATGGAGGCAGCAGGGAGCCCCAGGCAGGCTCCCCAGCTTGCCCCACAGCCCAGTTTCTGTTTTGAAACTGAAGGAGAAGTGGGAAGTTTTAGGAGCCACCCCACCACCAGCATAATCCCACTGGCGGGTTTCTGGCAGAAACCAGACAATGGGAGCTGCTTGTTAGAACAACAGGCTGCTAAGAAGACTCATGCCCTGTCTCCTGGGCTCAGTGATTCATGACGTACATGCAGGGTTACCAGGTGTCCAGTATTGACGCACACAGTCCGGTATTTCTGCCTCCTGTCCAGTAAAAAAATTCAGAAAATACCAGACACCTAAAAAATGTCCGGTATTTTCTGATTTTTTTTCCCTGCCAGGAGGAGAAAATACCGGACACATGGCAACCCTACCACACTCAAAAAACGGGCCCAGCCCCCACATCTATCTCCCCTCTCCCCAGACCCATTGCTTACCTGGTTCCACAGGGAAGCTGTCTTCTGGGTCGGTCAGGAAAACAAGATGGCCACCGGCAAAAAGCTTCAAAGGCTTTTCTTAAAGGGACCATGCTATTTTTTTCTTAACTCTCAGGATCTTTTTTTTTTTTTTTTTGGTATCTCCCTTTTTTCCCCCACCCTCAACAGAATTTTTTCCTGGTGGTTTTTTATGGGGGGAGGCGGTGTTCAGTATTTTTAGTTAAACCATCTGGCAACCCTAAGCACATGGCCGGGCAGGCTGGCTGGCTGGCAAACCTTTTAAGTGCTGCAGGCAGGCGAGTTTGGCAGCTGACAAGTAAGTCTCTTGGCCACAGCCTGCTTCTGGCACCCCAGCTCTTTCCTGCCCCAACTCTCTGTCCTCTCCCCCATCTCAACATACCCAAACTCTCAGTCCCCCTCTTACACCCATACTCCCTCCCAGATCTGGCACCTCAATCTCCTGCCCCAGAACACAATCCCCTCTTACCCTAGGTCATACCCTAAATCCCTGTACTCCAGTTCCCTGCCCTACGTCACAACTACCTGCTTCATCCCAACTCCTTCACAGACTCCAGTCTCCCTCCTGTACCCCAGTCCCTTACCCCAAGCTCCCGTCTGCACCCAACCTCCATTCCAGACCCTGCATCTCCATTAACATCATGGAAAAGAACAGCCCTCGTCCACTTTACAAAATCTTGGAGTGGCCTCTCACCAAAAATTATTGCCCACCCCTGCACTACGTGCTTACAAACTGATCGTTTAGTAATTTGTGACAGTATCTTTCCAGGTATCAAAGTTAGTGTGACCTGCCTATAATTGTCCAGCGTCCTTTAGTTCCCCTGTTTGAGAAACAGCAAGCTCATAATTTGACATAACATCTGATGTTCTATTTCCAGACACTGCAGTTACCAAACCAATGAGCATAACAAACTTGACTTCTATGTTACAGGATACTCACCCTTTGAAATGTTCTTTATTCACCCACATTCCAAAAGGACAGTTGCTAATAATTTATAAATGTTTTTAATTTAGTTTCTATCTTCAAAATACTTAAAAACCTAGGCAATAGAATGTTTTCATGTCTATTATACTGCCAATTGCTGCTGGGATCCAATACATTCCAAAATCAGCACTAATTGTAGCCTCTCATATTACCTAGTCTTGCTGGGTCTCCTCAAACAGTTCTGTTCCCTAAGATCAACACTCCCATTTACAAAAGAAGACAGTCATTCCATTTGAATTATATGCTTTATCATTTCATTATAAAGGCTGAGCAGAGATGATGATACAGATCACAAAAATAAATTATTGTTCTAATATATTCAACAAGATAGAGTCCAGAGATGGAATCAGCGTGGGAATTCTACTGTCCATTACACAAGCCTTCTTGGTTACTTTAGGCACTAACAGAACTTCTGACAAGCCTGGCACTGGAATAACCTTGGGTACATCTACACTGCAACACTAGTTCGTAATAACTATTGCTATTCTGAAATAACTTAGTCCGCGTCTACACAGCAGGCAGTTATTTTGAAATAGTGTCAAAATACTGTCAAGATGGAGGACTTCTTACTCCAACTCCTGTAACTTCATTGTACGAGGAGTAAAGGAAGTCAGAGGAAGAGTGATCTACTTTGAAATAAGTGCTGTGCAGACACTCCCAATTGCGAAATAAGCTATTTCTAAATAAGCTACGCAATTGATGTAGCTCAATTTCCATAGCTTATTTTGAGTTAAGCCCTGTGGTGCAGATGCACCCCTACATTATTCTCCTAGGAGACTTCAACACCTATACTGACAATACTGCCATCTAACTGGCTGATGTCTATATTGGTAAACTTGAGATTCTCCAAGGTAGATTCCAGGCATATTCATACAGCTGAATACCCTCTTGATTTTATCTTAACATTAGTGATAGAAAACTTGGGTGTAATAACCAGGCTTCCAGCCCTGTCTGACCCATGCTTCACAGAATCGTAGGACTAGACGGGACTTCAAGAGGTCATCTTGTCCAGTCCCCTGCACTCATGACAGGACATATGTATTATCTAGGCCACTCCTGACAGGTGTTGGTCTAACTTTCTCTTAAAAATCTCCAGTTCCATCTTAAAACAGGTATCAAGGATTCCTAGCCTTCCCATGTGGAGATAGAATCAACCAGACTAGTTTGCCTCTGAAGGCGTATCAGTCAGCTGAGCTTCCAGAATATCCTAATAGAAAACACCATCTATTCATTAGAATAATGTGTTGATGTAATAGTTATAGTTTCTTACCAACTAGCATGAATTTATTTGTCCAGAAATACAGCCTGTCTCCATGTCAACCATGCATATCATTTGGGATCTCTTGAAACCAGCAGCAAGTGTGTAAAGGACAGACTAGAATATAGGTGGTACAACACAGACCCAAAAGTTTACCACTTGCAGCACACAATTTATGGAAGACTACACTATAAATCTGTGGATGAGACCCAGAGTTCCTCCTCCTCTTTTAGATCTGAAAATCATCACCCAGCTTAACTGTCCCTAAAAGTTATGAGTCTAGACTTTTAATGCAACTCTTTGAAGTGTCCCTGCTATGCCACCTGCTATGAAGAGATCCTATTTCACTGAAGAGACCAAAGGAATCTAAGATGGTCTCCCGTAAACTGAACTGAAGGATGCAACCATCAACCCTCCTTAACAGAATTATATACAGACTGCAAACAGGCTTTAACATGTCAAGAGTTGTCCAAACCAGTAATTATAATATAGAGTCTTGCAAGGAATTGCAGGTACACCACCAGGCAAAGATACTTAATGGTTTCCTCAAGAGGCAAATTTCCAGGCCCTCCTGAAACGTGATAATAAAACCAACACTGAACAAATCACTCCCACCATCATTACCACTCGACAGGATCTCAGCCATATTTGCCTTGAATATTGATATGGATCCTTTGCTGTAAATGCTAGTTATCCTGTTCGGTCTTCTATTAGGATAAGAATCTGCATTACTTTTGGTTTAACCAATCTACTCCATTACACATTCGTTGCTATGGAGTGTTTTATTTTAATCAAACTAAATCTGTTTTATTCTGCCTATAGTAAAGCACCTACCATATATGATACTATTTTTCTCTTGACTAAGCTCTATGAAATATCATTAGAAACACATAATGTATATTTCCACATATTTTGTACTTTTATTTCTCTGTATCCTATAGAGTATTCATTCCATGTATCAGGGTAGAATACCAGAATTTTTGTACACTTCCAAATCAGCAAACTGTGTTAACCAACCAGCCCAGGGATTTGTATGCATACAAAACTGGACATTCTAAATCCACACTAATTAACCGGGTTTGACTGCATAATTGTTTTGTCTTAAATTATGCTGTATCCTTAACATTTGCCAAAATTCCATTCCTGTTTCTTATAAAGGCAACTAAAATTTCAAATGGTGCTATTTTGTGATTGAGAAAATAAGCTGGCAGAATATTAAAAAAACTGACTTGCACTGGCACAAAGCAGTTCTCAGCCCCAAGCAGTATTAAGGTTTGTTTAGCAAGTATGTGTTTAAGCCACTGTCTGGAAAACATCCTTTGGTTTAATTGCACTTACCCAATCTATTTTATCCACATTCCAATATTTTTTTAAATCACGGAACTGCATTAGCATTCCCTTTAGACCCACAACAATGATACTTGCTAGAACACACTGCAAAAGAAGAAAAAGGAAAAAAAGTTATTAGTAAAGTGCTAGGTAGTAAAACTTGCATTCTCCCAAATTAGTATTTGATATTATAACTTAATTCTAGAAATACCAAGGTAAATATTTTAAAAATGTCATGAGTACAGGCACCAGACCCATTCTCTGCACTCTAGCAGACTATATAGCCCTGGACTGAAGAGGACAGAAACTTCTGGAGAGAAATACCATCTATCTTCAGTAGTAGCAGGCACACATTCTGTTGCTACGCGGGAGGCTCTCCAGGAGGGATGTAAATAGTTAACTAGTTAAACTATAAGTCTCACCCCTTAACGGGTGAGGTTTACTGGTTAAGGTTAACCAGTGGGGCTGGAATAATATGTTTAACTGGTTAACCAATTAAATGGGATTTTACATCCCTGCTCTCCAGAGAAAAGGAGTTAGTAATTTCCAAGCTTTGATATGATTCCTGCCCTATTAAGCAGCAGTCCCGCTCTTCACCGTCTTCTACAAAGGGGCCCAGGGGTGGAGGATCCAGAGACTTGCAGGCAAAGTAGAGGCACTAGACTAACCTTTCATTAGTCTTTTTAATCTATGGGGCTCGGAGCAGGAAGGAGGAGCACTGAATCAAAACAGGAATAGGAAGGGATAGAATCAAAATATGGAGGTAAGAAAGGAGGAGAATTATTCAGTTTAAAGGTAATAGGATAGGGTTAAATTTAAAAAGGAAAATATCAAGAGGTTAAAAAAACACAAATAGGAAAACAGATAAAGTTTGAAATACAAGTTATGCACATACACACAGGAAACCAAGAGAGGATAAAGACAGATCCAGATGGTGCATACCTCATTCAGTGGCTCAGACTGAAAATTATGTAATTAGCCTTAATCGTTTTCAGGCCAAAATCCCCAATGTGGGCACCCTTAAACTTTGGAAAAGTTTGAATCTGAGCTGTTGTGACTTTGGCCTTTCTCCAGTACTGATTTGGTGTTAATATAATACCAACAGGTCTTCTGGAGCTTTATGCATGAGTCTCTAAGCCTGAGCTAAAGACCAGCTGGTCTTCAGCTAAGGCTGTAGAGCACCATGTATTCTTTCTCTCTGTAAGTGGTGTAGCTCCTTCTAGATGAGACAGTGAACCACACCCAGTAGGTGTGTGGGTTACATACATTTACAATGTTTATGGCTAAATATTTGATGTGGCATCACACTATTTGGTCTATTCACATCTCACTGCAGGATATGTATCCATAATTCCTTGCTCAGAAAAATAATTATCTGTAATAATGGTTAGATCACTGACTACTAGCTCCAGTGTGCGACAAATTCATTTGGTAAGTAAAATCATAGTTAAGATTCTCTGCTGCAGTTAACTTGCACTACTCCTTTGACTTCAGTGGTGCCCATTTACATGAGCTAGAATCTGGCACCATATATTTAGCAAGATTACAGATCAAAATTAAGATAAAAGAAAATATTTCCTGACACAACAAAACTGAGGGATATTATAGCTATTTTAAGACTTTCAGAGATGTATTCTCCTCTATGTTATGGCACTTATAGTGGTGTTTATGGGAACTAAGCACTCATTTCAAAAGGAGAACCATCTTCTATGAAAGACCTGTACATCTTGTACAGAAATGTGCAATGAAACTTTTAAAAAATGAAAGCAAGTACTGTACCATGGGCAGCCAGTATAGCACAGGTCCTATTGCATAGATTACCACAAGTATCAAAATACAAGATATAAGGCAAGCCACCTGAAAACAAAAACAGGGAAAGCACAATAATATTATTCATTGTTTATAACCAACTGAAAGTCAGTTGAATATGCTGGGTTTCTCAGAAATGGTGAGAACAACAAAACATTGTACACATCAAAGTTAAAGGAGACGAGCTAAACATTTTAGCTATCTAATTATCTGTGGATTAGAACCATGTCTGGATCATTTAAATTTTAAATTTAGGATTTTCTGTAACTAGTAAATGCTTAAATATCTGGATCAGATATCAACATTGGGCTTGATTCTGATGTCAGATACATAGGCACAAACCACTGTATGACTTGTGAAATCAGCTACTGAAATGGTGCATGTGTGTGCAGTAATTTCACAAGATCTGCAGCAATGCATGCCCACTCTATGCTTGTATTAAGGGTAACATGCCCGGCATTTTGTGTTGTTTCGCTATAGTTTATCACTACATTGAATGATGTAACAGTCATATTTGAAGAACTCAAGATTTACTAGGAGAAAACATTTCCCTTGTATGATCAGGTATCAGCAAGGATTTCAGTATTAGCATCGAAGCATTTTACCTTTGGTTGATGCATCAATTAATCATAATCCCAATATCAGAAAGTGAATGGTTTATGCAGGAAACATGAATCTAGGCAAATGCATGTATTATCACACAGTGTTAATATGGTAGAAAATTACAAAACAAAATAATCCTGTTTAGCAGCAGAAATAAAACTTTGAAATGAACTCTAGATCTCAATCATATCCTCTCTGGGTTTCCAGAATGGTTTTGGTGATAAACATACCCTTGCTTGCTTTATGATGACGCTGATAAAATCTATCTTTAATCAAATTAACTATGGATGCATTATTAGGGCTCATCTAGGCTACACTAGAGTGTCGAAAAAGGATATGCAAATTCTGCAGGAATTTCCATATCTTCTTCTGATCTCACTTTTGAAAGCAAAGCTTTCAAAGTGAAAGTAGTTTAGATGCTACTTTTTCGGCAAACTCCTCCCTCCTTTGTTGAAAAGTCACGTAAACTTCATTTTTTGAGGAAAGCTCTGCTTTTGAAAGTGAGATTGGAAGAAGATATGCAAATTCCTATGGAATTTGCATATCCTCTTTTGACACTCTAGCATAGTCTAGATGAGCCCTTAGTTAACCAATAATAAAATGTCAGGAAAAAAAAAGAGGTGAAAGACAGATGCTGATTTTACTTGACAAAATTTTTATCAAGCCTGGGATCCAGTCCTCCCTTCCTGCACTGTTATGTTTTAGTTACCAGATAAAGGCTCTTGAAAAACCTGAAGTTCATTACAGATTCAGATAGGGCTGGTATTGGGTCTTGAGGGCTCCTTACATCTCTGTCATGATATATGTATGACCAAGTTCACTGACTTCTATGCATTCAGAACACCCTCTATCTCTGCTTGCCCATGACACTTGTTCACTACATTCTTCTGCCCCTGCTTGCAACCATACCTATATGGACCAAGAAACAGAGAAGTCAAGCTGAAGCGCACTTTTCTAAGAGGCAGAAGAAGAAAAGAGGTAAAGGAATTTGGTCTGTCATGGCCTTCTATCATTTGGTTTAGAGATGGCCACATACAGGAAATTGGCACTCTAGCTGGCAGGTCAGACATTACAGGGAGGAAATGATATAAGAACCTGAACAGAACAGAAAAGGATAGAAGGACACATAAAATAAGGTCCATGGGACAACAGAGACTGCACAGCTACACTGTTGGTGCACAGTTGGTGGTGGAATCAGACAGTAGTCCCCAAACTGTGGGATGCGCACACACCCCGCCAAGGGCAACGCCTAGAAACATTCGGGGGGAGCAATGAGAACAGGGACAGACCTTATGGGTGGTGAAGAGGAAGCACCACTCACCCCCCCCATTCTGCTCCTAGGCTGTACTACAGCTCCACCCCACCTCTAGCCATTCCCAGCACCACTCCCAGCCCCAGACCTACCCCCAGTTGTGGACTCAGTCCCCTCTCTGCACCCCCCTCTTCCTCGGGCACCACTGCCCCATTCCCAGCCGTGGTTCCTAGTGTGGGGGAGGAGACAACAATGGGGGTAAGAAAGGTCCTGACCATGAAAAGTTTGAGGAACACTGGAATAGAGAGTAATTAGGAAGTGAACTTTGAGGAGGACACTGATGGCTAGATACTATCAGCTCCCTATTTTGGTTAACACTGACATGTTCTGATTTCTACTTTTTAGTAAAACATGATAGTGTTAATATATGTGCATATTGTTTAATTTCAGAGTTGGGAAGGTTGTGACTCCACAAAACTGTTTGGTATGGAACTGATTGAGTATTTAACTCCCCCCCCCAATCTAGCCAGACATACAGTTTGCAATGTACCAAGGACTGCTCTAGACACCAGTGTGTTGTAATCAGTTCTGGATTCTGTCCAAGGACTTCCCTGTTTTCTCGGTATTTAGAGAGAGAGGCAGAGTCTAGCCCCTGACATCACATCATAATAGTTTTCTTTTCTATTTACGTTGCCTATTCTGAGTAATCCTGAGTGCTGGCCATATGCTTTCATAGTTTGCATGTTATCCAGAACTAAATCACAGACACGCAGGAGTAGATTTTCTCCTATGCTTGAGATCTGAGTCACACAGGAGAGGGAAGGCATCAGGGAGCCAAGTCCAGCTATCTAATTTTGAAGGCCAACTGTGATCCTGATGCAATTTGAAGCTGTTCCTTGGTAGTTTAAAGCTATGCCGCTGGCACAGAGAAGAAAAGCTCCAATTCATTGTTCCTACTCTATGGGGAAGGAAGGGGAGCAGGGTTTGCCAGTGCAAAGATGTGCCAACAAGTAGTTTCCCTATAGAATCATAGAATCACAGAACACTAGAACTGGAAGGGACTCACGGCAGGACCAAGGCACTCAAGATCAGGGGTCGGCATCCTACGACTCACGAGCCAAATATAGCTCACAAGGGAGCCATATATGGCTCTTTTGAAGCTTGAGCCCAGCCCCCCCTTGCTCTCCCCACAGCAGGGAGCCTTCACTGTTGCTACAACCTTGTGGCCCCCTACAAAACTAGAGCACCAGCACCAGTATCCTGTGCAGGGGAAGCGAGGGGAAAGCCCTGAGGTAGCCAGAAATGCAGAAACCCAGAGTGCAGAAACAGCTGCACACTGATGCTCCCTCCTCCCTGCTCTAGCTGGGGAAACAGCAGTGGGTGGACACACTTTCTGGAGGCTTTTCCCGCTGTGCCAATGGAAGCAGCAGGGAAAGCCTCCAGTGCTTGGGAGCAGTGTGCATTACAAAAACAAGTATGTGCCCACCATGCTCTCCTTCCCCTGCCGAGACCTCACACCCCTAGCCTGCTCCTGCAGCCTCCCCCCTGCACAGACACCCTGCCCCCTCCCTCTGATCAGACACCTATCCCCTGCCTACTCTTGCACTTTACCCTGTTCCTGCCCCCTCCCTCCTGGCCAAACACCCTGCCCAGCCTGCTCCTGCACCCTACCTTTCACCCAGACCTCATACTCTCACCCCATCTTGCACCCCCATTCCTACCCCACTCACTGGGAGCACAGTCCCACTCACTTAACCCCTCATTTTTGGCCCCACTGCAGAGCCTACAGAGGCCCACAAATTACACTAACTCCAGAAGAGTAAATCTGGTATGAGGCCTCTGCTCACCATGGGGCTGGAGCACCAGGGGATTTTTCTGTTGGCCCCGACATAAAAACGGTTCTCCACCCCTTCCATAAATAAAGACAATGTTGAAACCTTTTGTGTCTGATATAATACTTTACTTTAAAAATGAAGCCTGGTCGTGGAGTACTTTGCATTTGTCCTTATTAAACTTCATTCTATTTACCTCAAACCATTTCTCGAGATCATTTTGAATTTTGACCCTATCCTCCAAAACACTTGCAACCTCCTCCCCCAGCTTGGTATCATCTGCAAACTTTAATAAGTGTGCTCCCTATGCCAATAGCTAAATCGCTGAAGACTTTGAATAGAACTGGTCCAAAAACTGAGCCCTGCCGAAGCCCACCTGCTATGCCCTTCCAGCATGATGATGAACCATTAATGACTAGTCTCTTAGAATGGTTATCCAGCCAGTTATGCACCCCCTTATAGTAGTCTTGTAGTTAATAAGACTGGGACTTTTCAGCTTGGTAAAAAGGTAACTAGGATGATAAGGAGCTATACATTTGACTGGTATGGAGAGAGTAAGCAAAGAAGCATTATTTACTCTTCTCATAATACAAGTTGTAGGGGGTCATGAAATGGAATTAATGGACAGCAGGTTTAAAAGAAACAAAAGAAAGTATGTCTTCACAAAATGCATGGTCAATGTGTAGAACTTTTTGCCAGACATTGTTGTGAAGGTCTAAACTATAAGAGGGTTAAAAAAAAAACGAATTAAGTAAATGGAAGGTAGGTGCAAAACCATGCTCTGAAATGTCCCTAGCTTGTTTGCCAGAAGCTATGGTAGATGGATCACTTACTTGATGATTACCTGCTCTGTTCTCTCCCTTTGAAACATCTAGCATTGGCCATAGCTGGAAGACGGGATGCTGGACTACACGGACTATTAGTCTAACCCGGTACGAACATTTCTATAAGCAGGAACTAAAAATAATTCTACAGTGTACTATGACTCTGAAGCATGGATACAATGGATAATGGAGAATAATGGCACATTAGAATGGTGAAGCACTATATGCCATCAGACTCCATTACTAAATACATTCAGTAAATACTGACAGAACTTTCCTATAATCCTAATGCTTTTTAAAGATGTTTATTGTTTAAATTATTCAGTATAAGTTACCTAGCTCACATGGTTCTGTTTGGTTATCAACAAATACTTGTAAAGTGTTTTGGAAATACAAAGACCTAAATAACCCTCTAGATATTATGACAACTTGTGCAAAACAAACATATGATCTGATCTGCAGGGTTCATAATCTACATGCATACACCAAGGGTAATATTCTACTTAATTTAGGCCATGAACTGCAATTAAGGTCAAGCACAACTTTGGTCCAATATAGTTAACACAATGAACACAAATGGAAAAGTTATACTATTGTAAATGTAGATTTAATTCTGATTATCTGGATTGCTATGTTTTGTTTTGCTAGCATCTGCCCTGGAGAAGCTGAACATGTCATCGCCACAGGCTTGATAGATCGTGGACAACATAAGCATGTGATGACAACACAAACACGCCGTGACACAGACCTTCAGTGGGTACAGTATGACTTTTTTAGGATTGGCTTTCAAGGCTGATTTTCAAAATAAAACTTCAGAAGGGTAGCCAAGTTAGTCTGTACAGGATCAACTTAAAAAACAACAAAACCTCATGATACCAACTATCTGTTTTGTTAGTCTGTAAAGTGTTACCAGACCATTTGTTGTTTTTCAAGTTTTTCAAAATAAAGTGAAAATAAAACAACTGAAAAAGTTGGATTTAATTAATTTTAGTCACAAACTGATCCGTTGCATTGAATCCAATCAAATTGTAAAACAGTTCACTATATAAAGTGAAATCCCACACTCACCACTAGAGGACTCTTAAGTCATGATGGTGAAATATGCTAATAAAAATGCAAGGGCTTGAGTGTAGTTTCTGCAGTGTGTCATGCAGAGGAGAAACACAAGGTCTGGAGTTCTCACTTTGCCAGACTTGAAAGCTCATAATAAATTAAAATCTAAGTATATTAAGAAATCACCTCCCATTTGCATTTCAGGATGGCTTTAGCATATTCAAGCTAAAAGAGCAGAATCATGCTTCCCCCACCTGAGATATTAAACTAAAGTTGTGTATTGGGAAGTCATATTTGGTTGCTGGGAAAAACAAGGGGCACCCTTCTCTCACAGACTGATTTTATATGATGTTTGAAATAATGTTATTGATAATGGTTTCAGAAGTTGATGCCTGATTCCTCCACATTACATTTGAAGAACAAGAAAATAAAATGGATACAAACAGCATAATACATGATAAGCACACAATAATCTCAGCTTTCTTACCATTTTAAGTCTGATGCGTTACCTGTGTTTTTGCTCCAGTGCTATATAAAAGTGCTGTACGTCCCATTGCTGCAGCGCTTGGTATGCAAAAGAAAAATGAAGGAATCACATTGCTGAGGCCATGAGCCAAAAGCTCCTGCAAAGTTTTTTAAAAGAATACATTGTTTTACTCTATTGTTCTGTCACTTCAACATTTCTTGCCAACATGGGAGTTCTCTGTGTAAATATTAGCAATTATAAAGAACAACCTTTTAGGGAAAACAGTAACAGACAGTGTAATAGATCTTCCAGCACTTTATGCTTTCTTATGACTCATTACTAACTTGAATGATCTGCTTATAGCTAGATTAAAAGGTAAAACAGGGAGATATATTGTGGTTGGAGAATAAATGGCATTCCTAGTTATTAAAGATAGGCTCCAACCACATTTACATCCAGACACATTTTGAACAGCCCAAAGTTTGGGGGTGCTTAGATCCGAAGTATGTTCAGGCCTATCCTTAAGTCTCATTTCTCTGTACTTTTGGGGGGCAAGTCTTAATAAAGTGGAAGAAATGTAATTTGAATTCATATGGTACCTTTCATTACTACCATGCTTTATATCTCATCCATGACTGAAATGCTACTACCTCTGAGCAAAGGCTTACACATGACAAGCCTCATAGGAGTGGGGAAGTCAACCAAGCTCCTGCTGCTGCATACTGAGGTGAACAGTGTGCTCTAATACAGTGTCTGATTTTGGTTCTTCAGCATCTGCACTGAGTCAGGGTGAGAACTAAAGGAGACCCTTTATGCTCCTCCCCACTCACTGAGGCTACTAATGACACTGGCATAGGTAGCATATTCATCCAGTGTAGATGCCTGATCATGTGTCCTCCCCCACTTCAGACCAGCACACTGTTAGAGGGCTCAGTTGTGCATGTGTGTTCACTAAAGGTAGGGGTGAGAGGTGACTGTGGAGGAGTCCACAGAGAGGGAAAGGGGAGTTATGTGGGGGCACTATCCACTTAGCAATTAAATTTTTGGTGGGAACATAGGGGGGCAATGCACCTCTCAAGTGTTACCATGAGTCACCTATGACAAAAAGCATGGTAAGAGCTGCAGACTAAGGCCTGGTCTACACTAAATCCTCCCCGTCCACCAACCCTATGCAACTTCAGCCACGCAAATAGCATAGCTCAAGTCAACATACTTGTAGTGGTATCTTCCATGCAATAAGAACACGGGGGACTGTTCTCCCATTGACTCCAGATACTCTTCTCATCCTTGTGGAGTACCAGAGTCAACAGGAGAGTGCTCAGCGATCAATTTATCACATCTAAGCAGTTGCGATAAATCAACTGCTGATGGATCAATTACTATAGCACTGATCCACTGCAGAGTGGAGACAAAGCCTAAGTGCCCTAGAGGCATTATCTTATTTCTGCCATTTCCTGCTATAATGCCTGTCATCTACCACCTCTATGGCCATCCCCTTCCTTCACACAAGGCTTAGTGACATAAGCAGAAACTAATGAAAGATTATGTGCAGAATATTTTTTAAGACATGAGCAAAGAAGTTGACATATCCATGTCTCAATAATGTACTGATTTGAATGTTTACAAAAGACATAGGCTGGTCCAAGCAAAACTGGGCTCTCCGGTCACTATTCAGCCATGGTTCATCCACCCCAAGCTGGTCTGCAATGGGAATGCAGGAGTGGTATTTCAGTTCCACAGGCAGACAGAAGTGGGAGGAAAACAGTCTTCCCATCCCATAAATATTTTAGAGTGCTCAAACATTTTTACAGTCCTGACTCAGGATGAAAAGTCAAAATCACAAAATAGTTTGCAAACAGAACATTTTTTTCCCATGTTGGGTCAATCAAAATATATATATATATATAGACACACATACACACACACACACACATACATATACATATATATACACACATACACGTTCAAAAAGTTTTAATTCTGATCTTTTTTTCTTTGTTTAATCTTATTCAGTACATATGAAAAGATAAAGGCAGTTTGAAATTAAAAAAAAATTATTTGAAAATGTTAAAATGGAATATTTAGGGAATTTTGAAACTTTTCCCCCCAACAAGTTTTGGAGTTGGGAAATTCAGCTAAACTGACCTTGTTTCACAAACAATTTTGATTTTGACTAATGGACTCTTGATGAAAAGCTGAAAGATTCCCAATCTGCCCATGGGACAATATCCAGTTGAAAATGTGTCCCTGAGGACATGTATTTCCCATCAACTGCTGAAGTTACTATCTTCACAGAGCACTCAATCAAAATGAAGTAGCTCACATGCTCGATTCAGTGGTTCAGTAACAACCAGTAAACATTCCACTGACACTACAGCCTGTCCCTTGAGGAGTGGAACCCTCAGGACTGGAGATCTCATGGCTGAGGATTTGGCAGCACTCTCTGAATCAGCACTGCTCCTACTTGTTATACAAAATCAGCCTTTTCTCGAAACTCGTGCTTTGCACAAGGCCCAGTTTGTAAGATCAGGTGTGTCTCGGGGGGTGCAGGTTCCTAGCTCATTCCAGTTACTGCTCTGTTTTTCCAGTCTGCAGCCCATGTAGAATTCTTCCCTCACCAAGTTGCCTTGGAAGAAACTGCCTTATGTTAGCACACTGAAGAACACATTGACACCCAAGCTGGCCACTGCTGGTGCTTAATGAAGCATTCCATGATAGTTCCCAAAGCTTGTGTCCCCTTAGAATCAGTAGCAGCCTCCACAGACAGTTTGCAGAGCTCATTTGGACTGCAGTGGATGTTTCCTAGTATCTCTATCATGATCACATATGACATTCTCAGTCACCTGCTAGGCTCCTGACTACTGTGTGTTCCCAAAACAAAAGAGTCAGTTTATGATCTTCCGGCACTGAGAAGAAAATGCTTTACCTGGTTATCATCCACAGAGTATCTGAACTGTTTAGCAGAGCCTTGAGCCAGGGCTAGTGATGCTACATAACCAACTAATGCTACTCCAAAAGCTTCAGTAACTACTTCAGAGAGGATGTTCATGGGTGGGGCTTTCGGTGCCGGTATCCTGCAAAGGCAGAGACATGTATCCATTTATTGGATTTGATACATGCATGGTAAATCCTGATCCAAAGTTATGTTTAATTGCAATGGATACACGCTCACAGAGACATATGTCTTGTAAGGGACTTTTTGCCCTAAATGTCACATCATTGCTGCCTCTTTTTCTACTGCGTCAACAGTGGAAACAATCTCAAGAGCACTAGAGTAAAAAGGTACTGTCAGACATTAGTATTTTGAGAATCATGTTGGGTAGACCTCATTTAAAGCATACAGTAATTAATACGTTAGTGGTAGCCTGTAAGCATGACCACATTAGTACTCCTTGTGTCAAACTTATACAGGCGCACCTCTGAACTTTGGGACCTCACTTACCAAGGACAACCACTGTGAGTGTGGGATGGTGAGGGAGCAGAGAGGGGCACAGAAAAGGAACATTTTGTTGTAGTAGTCAAAAACATGAAACCGAAGAGTTTGCCACACACACTCTGGGGTGGCTGTCCTGCTTGCAGTTCTATGATTATGAATCCTACTTGTAGCATTTTCCTTAATTAATGTCAGGTGATGTCCCTGCTTTCATTACAAGTTTCTTTTCTACACTCAAACTCTATGCTCACAAATGGGGAAGTATGACCTCTCAACAGATCCCAATATCTTTCTTCTATTGCTGCAAGCTCCTAGCACACGGTCTCCTCGTCTTTCCAGAATGCACTGGGCCTATGTCAGATGGGGAAACCCCTAGAAGTAGTTGAAAATCTAATTGGTCTACTTGCTGAAGCCCATTTTTAAATCTTATAAACTAACAATGACCATAAAAAGCAGGTAGTATTCTGGGAGCAGGGACCCCAGTGAAGTAGATTTCCTGTATCTATAATGTGCTCAATCACCATAGTAACTAATGCCCAGTTTTTTAAAGGAATTTGGAGTTTGCTGTGCTCAGCCTTGCAACACCTACCTGATTTAGGAGCCTGTGGCCTACATGCCTCGTATCAAGATTGTCAGCAGGGAGTCAAACAAACTTCTATGTGCATCCTTAATATCGAGTGATGGCGGCAGTTGTCTGTTTTCATTTTTGGGACCTGATCCAAAGTCCACCACACTCAGTGGGAGTCTTTATAGTAACTTAACTTGGGTTAGAATCAGGTCACTGCTGCTTCTGTATTTGTTAAAATACTATTCAAAAATACATTATTTGGTAACATTTTTCCCTCCAAAAATATTTCTTAGGATTTTCCTATTAGACACCAAGAGATTACATCAGGGTGGGGGGAATAAGTCAATATTCCAGTTTATAAATTAAAAGGAAATAAACTGAAAAGGTCTAGAAACACTGATGTAAAGAGGGGTGTTATCTAACCTACCATCTGCCATAGCAAGCTTCTCCATAACACCTTGCCAGTGGGAGAATTATTTTGGTAGAAAGGGGCCTGGAGGGTTGTGTTGTACTACAGGAAAGTGTTTTACCACTCAACCTTTCTTATATTCACTGAGCAGCTTAAGGCATCATTTGGTTCATAGTTCCTTGTCCTATAAAATAATGAAACAATCCCTATATAGGCAACTGAACATCTGCTCAGGATGGTATCAACAAACGTCTCCGATGTGGGGCTATATTTGAGGGCTGAAATGAGCATTGCAAGTACATTTCATTTTCATTTCATTTGCCCTTTCATGGGCTGTTCTCTAAACATAAATACATTTTAAAACCATTAGCAAATAAACAACACCTTACCCTTCTGGAATATGCCCCACAACTTCTAGGCCATAGGTGTTCTCCATATCAGCACAGTAGCAGCCAACAGATGTTGCAATGATCTATTTAATTCAGCACAGAAATGATGTTAATGTTCTATTTGTTAGGTGCTCATATTGCTGCAATGGCTGAGTGTGTCACAATCTTTAATGTATTTATCTTCATGATACTCATATGAAGTAGGGATGTGCTATTATCCCCATTATACAGAAGGAGAACTGAAACATTGCAAGACTAAGTAACTTGCCCAAGATCACACAGGAAGTCTATGGCAAGCAGAGAACTGAAATAAGATCTTTCAAGTCCAAGGCAAACCCCCACCCACTGGATCATTCTTCCTCTCTGAAACTGCCTACTAGAAAGATGCCTGTGTAAATAAGATGCCTCCCTAACATCTTGAAAATTGCATACTAGTTAACAAAATACCTTTATTTAAGTATTAAATATTCTGTTTAGAAAGACTGAAGTTCATATTCATGGGGATATTATGCGAAAACATAGATCTTGTCAGTTTCACAAGATGCCATTGTTGCTGCAAATCACTGAGGGCATAGCTAAGAAAATCAATATACAGAACGAGAATCTGTAGGGATTATGCTGATAAAATCTCATACTTCACTAAAATCCAAATACTAAAAAGTTTTAAAGAATTCGTCCAAAGGAGTAAATCTGCAAAGTGTCGGACAATTATTGTAGAACATGACAGTATTTTTGTAAGGGAACATGAAAATGTATGGCACTGGAGATTAAAGGAGATTGTACATATTTAAATACATATCTGCCAAACAGAAACTGCTCCCCCATATCAGCTATGGATGTGCAATCTATGTTCAATGATCCAGTAACAAAATGCAGCACAAAATGATACATCCTTGCAAGTGCAAGTTAGTGCACAGCCTTCCAATCCTGAAGTATTTTTAAACAAATTCTAGTGTTTTGAAGCAGCAACATGCTCATGGACTAACATCAGAAGGGACCATCACAATCATCTCATCTGTCCTTCTATACGTGGGTGTTTAGATTATTTTCCTCTTGGCTCCATCTCATTTTTGTAAACTATTATTTGTATTAAATATATCATATATCCCATACATTTTCTTACCCAAATATTATTGTCCACCTTTGAATCTGCACATAGAGGGGGCAATCCATGCATGGTTCTACTTGCACCTACTAGCAAGGAAGCAGTGCTATAATTCCCACCCTCTTAGGGCCAGCAAATAGTGTTCTGTGGGCATGTGATCTACATGAGGCTCTCCGCACAGTGATGCTAAGAGAGACTCAGTAAGGAGATCTTCACAGAGTTATCAATCCCCTGCATACATTCAAATTAAATTCCATTCAAATTACAAAGGATGAATACAAACATAAGTATGTAGAGGCAAAATTAGAAAGGCCCAACACAAAACAACCTCAAACTAGATAGAGACATAAAAAGGGTGACATGAAAACATTCTACAAACACATTAGAAGTAAGAGGAAGACCAAGGACAGGGTAGAACCTTGACTCAATAAAGAGGAAAAAACAATTAACAGAAAACGTGGAACTGGCAGAGGTGCTTAATGACTTCTTTATTTCAGTTTTCACCAAGAAGGTTGACGGCAGTTGGACGCCTACCATGGTGAATGTCAATGAAAATGAGATTGGTTCAGAAGCTAAAATAGGAAAATAACATGTCAACAATTACTTAGACAAGTTAGATGCCTTCAAGTCACCAGGGTCTGATGAAATGCAACCTAGAACATGCAAGGAGCTGACTAAGCAGATACCTGAGCCGTTAGCTATTATATTTGCCTACAAAAGGGCAAATATAATGGGCATCTATAAAAAGGAAAAAAGGACAACCCTGGAAGTTACAGACCAGTCATCTTAATTTCTGTACCAGGAAAGATAATGGAGTAAATAATTAAGGAATCCATTTGCAAACATCAGGAAGATAAAAGGTGATAAGTAACAGCCAGCATACATTTTTAAAGAACAAATCATGCTAAACCAAACTGATAGCTTTACAGGCAGTCCCCGGGTTACGTACAAGATAGGGACTGTAGGTTTGTTCTTAAGTTGAATCTGTATGTAAGTCGGAACTGGCATCCAGATTCAGCCGCTGCTGAAACTGACCTCCAGTTCTGACTTACATACAGATTCAACTTAAGAACCCCAAGCGTCCCCAAGTCAGCTGCTGCTGAAACTGATAAGCAGCTGATTCCAGGAAGCCCGGGGC